AGATAAGCCTTCAAGGTTACTTCATGTTAGACATGATAGGTAGGAAAAAATACAGGCAGAAGTCAGTTTTTCTTATCTTCTGTATAAACAAGCTGGTATTTCATTCAAGGCCTTTTCCTTAACTTTCAGCATACCAGATTGCTATCAGGCAGTCACAGGGAGAGCCATGCAAACATGTTGTTGTTGACTATTTGTCTGCTGAATTTATTAATTGGTTTCTAAGGAAATCAGGCTCCTGCATTCATTCTGTCTTTGTGCTTGCCTGATGTTCCTTCCCTTTCTCCCCTTCACAATTGTTTGTGACTCAGCTGGCCTATATTCATCATGTTTGTTGAAAAGCTGGAGGTCTGTAAAGATAGTAAGTTCCTATTTTTACAAAACTCATAGGTGGTGGGTAGAGGAGGGAATGCCCTGTTTGTGGGGCTGTCCACCCCATGACAAGGGAAAAGCAAGGAAACTCTGTCCTGAGCTGTTGGGTTTGGGACCATGCTGCAGACTGACCTGCAGCCTTCTCCTGAGAGCTAAACACCGGGTCGTGATGCAGACACAGGATACTCGTAACTCTGTGGGGTAACGCCAGGGTGGGCCAAAGCACGGTGAGGTATCAGTGATGTGGAGGGGTTGTACGGAGCACAGAGCAGGGGGCATGCTTGGGGGTCTATGTGGGCAGTGAGGATATTGCGGGTTTTGGCATGCCGAGGGGGGGAATGGAGCTACTGTGGAATGATACAGGGGACACTGAGGGAGAGAGCACTGAGGACCCTGTGAAAGAGCTGGGGGGCTACCATGGTGAAAGGGTAGAAAGCACATGGGGAAAAGAGCTAGGCTGTGAAAAGCACCACGGACGTGATGAAGGACTAGGGGTATTTTGTTTGCAGAGCATAAGGTGTTTGTGACGTGTCTCTCTTGGAATATATGTACTATTAATTCTGCTGTTTTCTAGTAGTGCCATGTATAAGTTACAATGCATGTTGTTTAAATGAGCCTGATCGAATACCTTCTGAAGTAAACGTTGCTTTTATTTGCTACCAAAGGAACTAGATAAGGTCCCTACTATAACATACATAATTTATTTGCATGATGTTTATGAATGACTTTGAAGTATATATTTGGAATTTAAATCTTATCATTTGTAGTACCTGTTAGAAACTGACATGAGCTTCTCAAGTAATTTTTATCCTTCTCAGGTTTATCATGAATTATGTGCAACTGAGGCAGGGTTGATATCTTGGAACTTTTTGGTTCATATATTTAGGGGCTTGGGGACTGTCTTAGTTTGTGGTTATACAGCACCTAGTACTTGTCCATGCCATCATGATTCCTGATTCCATTGCAGTATAAGTAATTATAATATAAATTATTTTATCTGTTTATAAAAATACATTATAATATAAAATAATTATAGTACTCAAAAACTAAGTATAGTCTTCATCCACCCTTTGGTCTAAGGAATTATATTTGACGTTGATGCCAGTTCTGCAGAGAAGGGAGTCCTAATGCATGCTGATAAATTGGTGAAGTGGGTGAAATACTTTAGAAGAAAAAGAGTAATTCAGTTAGTTTTCTCCAATATTTTTAAGATTGGGCTACATTAAACCTTTTCTTACTCACCTGCCTTCTTAGTGGCGTTATATAGTTCCACTGTTGGAAGAAATCATGGGAATACCCATGTAGATTGTCGGCAACTTCCTCATCTCCATGTTGTCTAGACACATAGTATATTCATGACTCCAGAACATCTAGACTTCCCTTGACTGGAAAGCCTTAATGAGGTAGTAGAACAGAGGGAGTCTGTTTTCCCTTTCAAAGTTCCTTCTTTGCTGGTGGCTTGGTATAGTATTGTAATGAATACCAAATCAGTGTTATATTTCACAGCATGGTTCCCAAATTCATGTTGCAGGGGAAAGGTGAGATGGTGGTGTTTATTCCAATATCATTGACTAAAAATAGCATTTGAAATTGTAAGAGGTGAATAAAGTGATCTTGAAAAAATACTATGGTATATATGTTATCTTCTTAATGATATTTTATTTTCAGCATAAATGTGCTTAGGAAGCATTCTGTCAGTTGAATAAGGCACAACTGAAACTTCTGTGAGAAAGGCATGGAATTGATCAGTATTTTTTGGCACTGTCTGCCTTGCGAAGTTATAAAGCCATGTTACGTAACTTTTTCTGTTTCAGGCATCTTGGGGTTTTTCACGCTTTTCTTTCTTCAGTGGCATAGATGGAGGACACTCCTGTGCCCTTCTTCCTCAATTATCGGGTAGTCAGGGTATTTTCTGGGAGTGGGGATTGTGGTATTAAATCATTTTGAACGAAGAGAGCAAATACCTAAATTTGCTATTCTTGGATAAACTTTCTTTAGACTTGTTCTTGTCAACTGTTGTTAAAGGGGGAGGGAAGAGTAGCAGATTAGGCTGTTTAGCCTAACTTCTTTCCAGAGAAATACATGTGTGAATGGGGAGAGGGAGCACTTCTTGGCTCCCCTTCTTTGTCTTGCTGTTACAACTATAATATAGCATCTGTATTTTTTCTAAGACTCATTTTCCTTGCTTGAATGTATAGTTTATTACAGCTTTGGCTTGAGAGGGGGAGCTGGATAAAACCTGCCTCCTCTGAAATAACCTGAACAAAGTATTGCCTTAAAGATTTGTGTTAAAGGATGCGGAGACAGCCTCTGCATTCCAGGAGTATCACAGCCAAATGGGCTACCCTTCATTAGGTGAAATTGGTGAAATGTAAGTAATAATTGGTCAGTGGGTATGATCAAATACTTTGTAAAACAAAGTTGGACACTAGCCACGTGGCATCTTTTACCTGCCTGACCTCACTTGTCCCAGAACTGGGAGACGGGAAGTCTTGCAGGGTTCCTCCCCACCACTTTCTGATGCACTCATACTGCACTGCATCTGAGGCATCCGCTGGCTCCTTCTCCTGGGTGGTTTTTTTTGGCATCTCCTACAAACAGTTGTCTATGGTATGGACACATCTGGCAGTACTGCTGGTGAGCCACTCTGGCTTGTGGGATGATACTTGGAAGAGTTCTGCGTTAATCTGTTGTGCAAAGGAAGATGTTCTATTGCAGTTTTTCCGTGACTCAGAAAGACAAAGAAACCTAAAAGGTCATATGGTGGTGTGTGATTTGTTTTATGGGTTCATTCAATATTGCCATTGTGCATTGAGCCTGACCACAGTGAGTCAACTGGATTGAACTGACTCAGCCAAAGTAGAGGACTTGCACAACAGTAGGACTTCAGTCATTCAAAATTCCCTTGCTAATGCACATCAAAGAGATGAAATTAGTTATGGAGTGCGGATTTTTTTTAGGGGGGAGTGCTGTTGTACATGTAAAATCAGTTTAAAGTGGAACTTGGGCATCCCAGTATTTTTATGGATCTTGCCTAAGTGTTTTACTACCTTGAACTTCCATTGGTTACGCAAATAAACCTACTTTCAGGAAAGGATACAGAAATTGGCTTGAACATTTAAGCTTTTCTTGGATTGACTTGGCTGGATCTACTTGGATGCTTTGTCAGTTAGTATCTTAAATTGCTACATAAACAGCAGAAAGTCAGAAGTTGTAAGGTGGAGAAATTGCAGGTAACTGTCACATGGTACTTGGTGGCCCAAAATCTGCTGCTTGAGTAATTACGTGACAGCTTCCTATGGCTTTGCAGGGTAACTTGTATGCTTTGGCATTAAAAAGTCAAGTGCCAAGGGCCAGCGTTTTTCACCTCAAAGCTGTACTGTGTCACCTGAGCCAGCTGTGGAGAGCAGCTCCCCCGTCCTGCCATGACTAACTTCAGACTTCCTCTCTGCTGTGCTCTGGAGCCAGTTGTCCGTGAAGAGATTTAACTTTTCAAGGAGGGGCTGGATGCAGCTCAGCACCAAGCGCGGCTGTCCCTTGGCCGCTGCAGACAGGCGGATGAAAGGCCGCCCGGCAGCGTTGCCCCGAAGCGACGGGGCCCAGGGGTGGCAGCGGGGGAAGAGCCGCCCTCAGCCTCCGCCTCAGGCCGCGGCTCTGCCCCAGGCCTGCCCTTGCCCGAAGGCCCAGCTCCAAGAGTCGGGGGATGAGGTGAGCGTGTGGGGGAGGGACGGCTGTCCTTCTCCCCGGCGGCACCTCAGGGCCCCGGGTCTCTGTTTCTTCGCCGCCTGGTTTGCCACGCCCGGCCAGGCCCCTCCGGGTGTCCCTCCCGCAGGAACGGGTAGGGCAGGTTCCTCGGGAGGACTACACCTCCCGGCGTGCCCCGCGGGCCACAGCCACATGGAGCATGCCGGGAGCGCGGCGCCTCGGCCCCGGCGGCACCGCCGCCTCCATGTTCTTCCCCTCCCGA